TCTGCTCTGGATACCTCCCATTTTCTGCTCCGGACACCTCCCATTTTCTGCTCCGGATACCTCCCATTTTCTGCTCCGGATACCTCCCATTTTCTGCTCCGGATACCTCCCATTTTCTGCTCCGGATACCTCCCATTTCTGCTCCGGATACCTCCCATTTTCTGCTCCGGATACCTCCCATTTTCTGCTCCGGATACCTCCCATTTCTGCTCCGGATACCTCCCATTTTCTGCTCCGGATACCTCCCATTTTCTGCTCCGGATACCTCCCATTTTCTGCTCCGGATACCTCCCATTTTCTGCTCTGGATACCTCCCATTTTCTGCTCCGGATACCTCCCATTTTCTGCTCCGGATTCCTCCCATTTCTGCTCCGGATACCTCCCATTTCTGCTCCGGATACCTCCCATTTCTGCTCCGGATACCTCCCATTTTCTGCTCCGGATACCTCCCATTTTCTGCTCTGGATACCTCCCATTTTCTGCTCCGGATACCTCCCATTTTCTGCTCCGGATACCTCCCATTTCTGCTCCGGATACCTCCCATTTCTGCTCCGGAGACCTCCCATTTTCTGCTCCGGAGGCCTCCCATTTTCTGCTTTGGATACCTCCCATTTTCTGCTCCGGAGCCCTCCCATTTCTGCTCCGGAGACCTCCCATTTTCTGCTCCGGAGGCCTCCCATTTTCTGCTCCGGATACCTCCCATTTTCTGCTCCGGATACCTCCCATTTTCTGCTCCGGATACCTCCCATTTTCTGCTCCGGATACCTCCCATTTTCTGCTCCGGATACCTCCCATTTCTGCTCCGGATACCTCCCATTTTCTGCTCCGGATACCTCCCATTTTCTGCTCTGGATACCTCCCATTTTCTGCTCCGGAGACCTCCCATTTTCTGCTCCGGAGGCCTCCCATTTTCTGCTTTGGATACCTCCCATTTTCTGCTCCGGAGCCCTCCCATTTCTGCTCCGGAGACCTCCCATTTTCTGCTCCGGAGACCTCCCATTTTCTGCTCCGGATACCTCCCATTTTCTGCTCCGGATGCCTCCCATTTTCTGCTCCGGATACCTCCCATTTTCTGCTTCGGATACCTCCCATTTTCTGCTCCGGATACCTCCCATTTCTGCTCCGGATACCTCCCATTTTCTGCTCCGGATACCTCCCATTTTCTGCTCTGGATATCTCCCATTTTCTGCTCCGGACACCTCCCATTTTCTGCTCCGGATACCTCCCATTTTCTGCTCTGGATATCTCACATTTTCTGCTCCGGATACCTCCCATTTTCTGCTCCGGATACCTCCCATTTCTGCTCCGGATACCTCCCATTTCTGCTCCGGAGACCTCCCATTTTCTGCTCCGGAGGCCTCCCATTTTCTGCTTTGGATACTTCCCATTTTCTGCTCCGGAGCCCTCCCATTTCTGCTCCGGAGACCTCCCATTTTCTGCTCCGGATACCTCCCATTTTCTGCTCCGGATACCTCCCATTTTCTGCTCCGGATACCTCCCATTTTCTGCTCCGGATACCTCCCATTTCTGCTCCGGATACCTCCCATTTTCTGCTCCGGATACCTCCCATTTTCTGCTCCGGATACCTCCCATTTTCTGCTCCGGATACCTCCCATTTTCTGCTCCGGATACCTCCCATTTTCTGCTCTGGATACCTCCCATTTTCTGCTCCGGATACCTCCCATTTTCTGCTCCGGATACCTCCCATTTCTGCTCCGGATACCTCCCATTTCTGCTCCGGATACCTCCCATTTCTGCTCCGGATACCTCCCATTTTCTGCTCCGGATACCTCCCATTTTCTGCTCCGGATACCTCCCATTTTCTGCTCCGGATACCTCCCATTTTCTGCTCTGGATACCTCCCATTTTCTGCTCCGGATACCTCCCATTTTCTGCTCCGGATACCTCCCATTTCTGCTCCGGATACCTCCCATTTCTGCTCCGGAGACCTCCCATTTTCTGCTCCGGAGGCCTCCCATTTTCTGCTTTGGATACTTCCCATTTTCTGCTCCGGAGCCCTCCCATTTCTGCTCCGGAGACCTCCCATTTTCTGCTCCGGATACCTCCCATTTTCTGCTCCGGATACCTCCCATTTTCTGCTCCGGATACCTCCCATTTCTGCTCCGGATACCTCCCATTTCTGCTCCGGATACCTCCCATTTCTGCTCCGGATACCTCCCATTTTCTGCTCCGGATACCTCCCATTTTCTGCTCTGGACACCTCCCATTTTCTGCTCCGGATACCTCCCATTTTCTGCTCCGGATACCTCCCATTTCTGCTCCGGATACCTCCCATTTCTGCTCCGGAGACCTCCCATTTTCTGCTCCGGAGGCCTCCCATTTTCTGCTTTGGATACCTCCCATTTTCTGCTCCGGATACCTCCCATTTTCTGCTCTGGATACCTCCCATTTTCTGCTCCGGATACCTCCCATTTCTGCTCCAGTACTCTGCGTTGATACCACTGCTTTCTGCTCCGGATACCTCCCATTTTCTGCTTTGGATACTTCCCATTTTCTGCTCCGGAGCCCTCCCATTTTCTGCTCCGGATACCTCCCATTTTCTGCTCCGGATACCTCCCATTTTCTGCTCCGGATACCTCCCATTTTCTGCTCCGGATACCTCCCATTTCTGCTACGGATACAGTACTCTGCGTTGATACCACTGCTT